CCCTGGTGGGGGGTTCTGCCGAGGGGCTTGGATTGCAGTGCAGTATCTGGGGGGGGGGGGGGTATGCACTCAGGAGGGGGGCAGAGGGTATGGGTTATGAAGGTGAGAGGGACAGCAGTGGGGGGGGACTGAGGGGAAGGAAGGAGCTGGGGTGCCAGAGGCAGGCTCTGGCCAGCTCACTTACTGGTAAGACTTACAGCTTAGCCCAATTTTCCATCAGGAGCCTGTCCTATCCCCTCCCCGGGTTGCCAGATACTTTCACAAAAAAACCCGAACATGGCAAGAGAAAAAAATTGATTGAGCCTCCCTCCTCCCCCATCCTCAAAAAAGCCGCTGCGCCTTTAAATTCCCACACTCCCCGCCAGACGCAGTAGGGGAAAAATGTTCCCGCCAGCCTTCTGTCCGAGAAAAACATTTTACATGTCCAGTATTTTCTGGTTTGTTTGTTTTTATTGGACAGAAGACGCAATTACCAGACTGTCAGGGCAAAAACCAGATACCTGGCACCCCTACCCCCATCTCCCCAGGCTGCCTGGCCATGTGCTTGGTGTCTATGAGCCTGAAGGGAGGGGAGATTGGTGCTTTGCGTGCTGCCTATTCTTGAAACGGGCAACTTCCATTGGTCAGAAGCAGGCCATAATCATGAGGCATCCCTCCCCGTCCTGGCACACAATGTGTGGAAAATAAAGGGTCCACAGCGCCTTTCTGTGCAGCTGAAACAAAAAATACAGGACTATGTAGCACTTTAAAGACTAACAAGATGGTTTATTAGATGATGAGCTTTCATGGGCCAGACCCACTTCCTCAGATCAAATAGTGGAAGAAAATAGTCACAACCATATATACCATAGGATACAATTAAAAAAAATGAACACATATGAAAAGGACAAATCAAATTTCAGAACAGAAGGGGATGTGAGGGGGGGGAGGGAGAGGAAGGTAAATGTCTGTGACCTAATGGCATTAGAGGTGATAATTGGGGAAGCTATCTTTGTATCCTTTGGTATATGTGGTTGTGACTATTTTCTTCCACTATTTGATCTGAGGAAGTGGGTCTGGCCCATGAAAGCTCATCATCTAATAAACCATCTTGTTAGTCTTTAAAGTGCTACATAGTCCTGTATTTTGTTTCAGCCTAACAACTAACAGACAAAAATCAGAGGAAGCGAGAATTGCAGCGTGTGGGATGGGGCAAGCAAGGAAAGCTGCCTGAGGTCTCCCTGCTGTCTCCGTGGGCCCGATCCAGCCAGTGGAGGGTGTTTTGCCCAGGCCTGCTGTAGTGCTAGCTCAGGCTGCCTGCTAAAGGGGAGCAAGGTGGGGACTGGGCTCAAGCTTAAAAAAGAAAGCTGCATCTGGCTCACCAATCATAGGTTGCCGACCCATTTTAAACTGTCCCTCCACTGGGAGCATGCCCTGGCACCTATTGAGGTTTGGGACTTCCCTTGAGCAGAGTTGCTCTACTCTTAGCCCTGATTCACTGCAGATCCCATCACAAAGACCAATTATTCAATCATTGTTGTGAGAAGTTGTTTTTAGTTTTCATTTATGACCGATGTAGCACTTGCTCTATAAGCAACAGTGTCATTTCAATGACAGAGCATCAGAAACTGATAAAATGTGACACTTCTGCTTTGATCTGCTGTGCTTGCGCATATTTTCTCTCTGCCTACGTCAAACCCTAGCTGGCTCATGTAGGCTTTCATTCAAATGCTCATCAGCTCTTTTGAGTTCTGTCAGCTTAAATTAATTAGGATTGAAATTAGATATTTAGCATATTTAACCAGTACCTTTGAGCGCTCGTTCATAACAACTAACTATACAATGCATTCTATTGTGTTAGTGATTATCAGCTGAGCTTTG